CACCCCCCCCAACGCAACTTCCCCAAAAAAACCCAGCTGTTCATAAACACTTTGTCAAGGACAAGACCAAGTACAGTATATGCTTTTGGCTTGGAGGAGCCCATTAATACTTGTGTATGAAAACCACAGAAGGATTTTTAAATGTTAACATAGATATCTTTGTCCAATCCTGTTGCATCTTTTGCTTTCAGGGTAAAAGTAATTACAGGAAAAATGTGTAGGTATGCTCCTGAAATTGGTACATCCCCATTGTTTTCAGTACTTGGCATTTGTTTAAAGTAACTCTCCCTGAGCAGCCTCGTTTAAAAAGTAGAGTTGCATCTTCTAATGTTTCGTTGTGTCATCCTGGCAAGGAGAAAGAGGAAAAAGTTATCAGGGCAGTGACAAACACAGTGAAGAAAGACATTGAGAAGACAGAAAACAAAAAAAGGAGGAAAAAGGTAGAAATAGAGGAAAGGTGCTCTTCTGTTGATCTGGCAAAATATTTAAAGAGCTCTGCATCCATGTGGAACTTCCTCTGTCGTTGAAACCTGCTGCTCTGTTCTCCCATGTTAAGCCCTTTAAAGTTGCTGATGGTCTGATTCAGTCACAGAGGGTGCTGGTAAGGGGGATGAGAAATGCTCCTACCCTTTCCCTACCAGACCGAGACCAAATTAATAATTATAACGAACAGCAGCATGACATTCAGTGCAGTGCATACTTTAGCACCTGTCAGCCTAGGCTTTGTATGGGTTTCTTCCAGTGTTGGATTTTAATAATCATTTACCTTTATCCACTTCTCTTTTTTACTCCAACTGACAGATGAGTTCTTTTCAGCTGGCCAAGCAGCAGGGAAGATATCTCCATATCTTTTACAACTCACAGTTTGCTTATCTTGTGCCAACTGGCACAACAGTCCTTTATAAAATAAAATGAAGCACATGCTTGAAAAGTTTGCTCTGCAGTAAGACTTGGCATGAGAACAATTCTGCATTGGTCTCTTTCAGTATCCCTTCAATGACATCAAAATGTTCCAGGCCAGGAAACTAATGAAGAGTGCGCTGTTTAAAGAACCAGATGCATTTTGCTTTCTGTCACCATTCTGTTATAATTGTCTTTCTTTTGTGGGGGTTTCCCTCCCTTCCCCCATAGCTGGTGGTGGGATTAAACCATGGGGCAGTGGTTCAGATGATGTGATCCAATTTGCTACATATTTTCTGTGTGCCTTGTGGCAAAACATTAAGGTCTTCATTATACAGGGCAGATTAATTGGCTTAATAAAAGATATCAGATTTACCCAAAGAACTTTGTCTGCCTATGTCCTTAGACCAACACGGCTACAACCTATACCCCTGAAACAGGGTGGAATAGACACCCCAGCAGGACTATTCTGATGCTGATGGTTTTACTGTCTTGCTGAGACTTTAAACACTGAGCTATCCTTCCCCGACGTGTAATCTAGAGCAATGTGACCAAGCTTTTACTGGCAAATTTCAATTGTTTTTAAATTTTCTATTTTCTGTTTGATGTTTTCCACAAGGATCTACTGTTTTATATAATATGCTTTGCATAAGCAACATTTTTGATAACTGTAGCAATTTTTTTCCACGTGCTTTGAATTTGTCAAAATACATCCTCTGTCTGCCCCCCAAAATCCCATCTTTAGATACAGAGTGGTCATCACGCTGTGTTCAGCAAACAGTAGCAACCATATGATGAATATTTTGTTTACACTCAGACAGCTCTGTTTTCAGACAGATATTTTGGTGAATTCAGAATTTCAACTATCCTAATAGAGAGGGCTGCTTTTGTTTTTTGCTTATTTTTATTCTCCTTGTCTAGTCCTAGAAATCTGACATGACTTATTTAAAGGGGAAAAGGAAAATACATTAGTTCAGGATTCACAACTGAGCAGCAGCTATTTCTGGCCAGCATGAATACGAATGGCTTTGAAGAGTGTATGCAAGTTGCCTGTCCCCCAGGGAGCATTGGGAACATAATTTAGTGCAGTCTGTGACTGCAAATGGGCAAACCTGATTTATATATGTTTCCACTCTCCCTTTGTGGCAATACAAAAATTAATAGGTCTGCCTGAGACTTTGTTTTCATTGGAATTTCACCTACCTGTATAGCTGGACTAGGGCAAATGCCTCATTATTTACACCAGTGAAACATGATTTGAATTGCTGTGATTTCAAAATGAGGTTACAGTAAAATGGAACAGGTTATATTCTGATGTACTGATGTATAAACTACATCATCACTTGCAGTTTGCAGCAATGGCTGAAATCCTAATGTAGGCAAGGGCTACTAGCACTGCTGTTGCTCCTACTCTTGATACTTCCTTATATTTTACAAAGATGGCTACAGAGGTCACTTCCTGCCATGCTGATCTGCATCCTGACTACTGGACCTAAATTCTATCATACACACTTATGTTCCCCTCACTTGAATGCAAAACAATTTTAAAGTGCCTACACTCTCTTTACTGCCTTCCTGAGGAGCTGAGGAACTCAAATGTATGTATTAGTCATTTAACCTCATACATTTGAGTCAGCGATCAGATTGCTATGTAAGGAGGAGTGTTGCCCATTATGGGCATGTCCAGACGAGCACGCATGTGCCTCTTGCCCCGCCTCAAACCCCTCTGAAGCAGGGCAAGAGGCACGCGTGGGAACAAAAAAATGTTCCCTGCGCTGCAAGTTTGCAACATGGGGAGAAAATTAGACCCCTGAATATCCAGGGCTCCAGTTCCGGTGAGTAAGGGATCGGCAGCCCCGCCCACTCCCCCA